TTCGGTATAGGTTTAGTGGTGAGAAAAAAACAGCATGTTTGAAGACGGCCAATATTTAGTATGCTAGAACTCAAGACAGTGTGAGAGTGGCAATGGATATGATGGAAAGGCTGGCAAGGGTCACATCTTAATGTTTATGACAGACTATAATGAGGTGAACTCAATGAAGATCAAGGTCTCACAGAGAGTAGATGAAGGTCAAGGCCAGATCTAGGTGACCTGGAGACCATGCTCTGTCTTCTACCACACCTCTTCCAGATTACAGGAATAATGTGTGATGCTGCCGTTTTGAGGCACCAATGCATCCCAGACCTCTGGTCTGATTTGGATCATCCTGCTGATGGACAGGGGAAATCACTTTGACTAGAATCACACTTTGCTGATTATTCTACACCGTTTCACACAGCTTGCTCAAAGACCTCAGTTCCATTCCATCTGAGCCAGACCACGCCAATGACTGTAGTAGCTGCTTGGCCTTTCCGTTGAGGCTCAGTCACCCCCCTGTTCAAGATTCACAGGGGCACCTGTCATATTCCTTGTACGGGCAGCTTGCTAAGGATGTTAACACACACTTGCAGCCGTTCCAAGGCCCCCGATTTAGTAGTCATAGCTGTCACAGGCTAACGCAATCTGACAGGCAACAGGGAGTGGGAAGCCCATCATTGTCAAATGACTCCCAGCCCAGCTAACCTAGAGTCCTCCCTGAACACATGAGCCCAAACAGTGCTCCCCTAGTAGTCTCTTTTATGCCTTCTAGATTCTCTAGCATACAGAGAGGATCAGAAAAATACCCCGCCCTACCCCATTAACAAAGGCAAGAATGCACACTATCTCTTCCTCTCTGCCTGTCCATGGAGTGCCCCCAACCCCTGTGCCACCACCCAGAACCTGAAGCACTATCTCATTATCTGCTATCTGCTCTATCATGTAACACCTGGAACAGGCAAGAATTGGCAAGATGGCTCAATGCCCTCACACCATTGAAAAATAGAGCCACGTCTTGGCTAGTGGCTTGGTGGGTTGAGTGCCGGCCTATGAATCGAACAGTCACCAGCTCAATTCCCAGTCAAGGCACATGCCTGGGTTGTAGGTCAGGTTCCCAGTAGGGGGCATGTAAGAGGCAACCACACATTGATGTTTCTCTCCCTCTCTTTCTCTCTCCCTTCGCCTCTCTCTAAAAAGAAATAAATTAAAAATTTTTTGAAAGCCACAGTTTCTTTCTTATGGGGACCATCACTATTCCCCAGTGAGCAGAAGCACTCTGGAGAGCCCACTTTCAGAGGAGAGCCTGCACCATGTGATGTAAGAACACATTTACTTAAGAGGAAGCTAGAGACCCAGAGAAATCAAGGCATCTTTAGTACTCTTCCCCAAGAGCTCTTTGGACACTGCCTGGCAGAACTGTGTGCTCCCCACACATTCTCTGTTTTTGTGGAGCTTCACAGTTCAGATGCCAAGTGCTCAGCTCCCACAAGTGCCAAGGAAGGCCCAGTCTTTGGTGGGCACATAGCCCTATCTTGACCTGCCACAGAGCCTGGGCCATTTTAATTTCAGTTCCTTTCAAATTGGAATGAAGGTAGCTAGGCTGAATACTGCTGCACTGAGAGTTATTTAAAATCTCTAAGATAGGAGCTTCAATACAACACAACTACACTGCCAAGTGCATGGGACAATGTGACTCCTGGGTGACTTTTTTACACCCACCTCTGCTATATTGGCAGCCCCATGACACCTCAATGACATTCAGCTATCAGCTGTTCCTCTCTATGTGTATGGAAACAGAGGGACTTGGGACAGCAGGCAATGAGTCTTTTGAGGGTAAAGTGTGCCCACAGGACAGAAATGGTGCCAAAAGGAGGGAGCATTATGAGGACTGTCTCTAGTGCTCTGAGCTTTTCTGGACTCCCCCAGAGACCCAGGCACAGCACTGAGCCATGCTCCATAGGCTGAGCCAAGAAAGGAGTGGAAAGAAAGAGTCCCCTTGGAGCAGGAGCTTGCCAGCTTCCTGGAAGGCCACTGGATTCATCTGGTGTCATAAAAGGAGCTTCTTTCTGAAATGGTAAAGGCCTCATTGTCAGCACCTCTAGAGTGGGCTAAGGAAACTGGGGTAGAGCGTTCAAACAAGAAAAAAGCCAAGCTGCCATTCTTAGAAAGGTATTTACCTGGGCATCAGCCATGCTGAGTCATTTCTTGTTTTCCATCTGCCACCCTTCTTATTCACTCTCATCCCTGACACCCATGTCCAAATTGTCTCTGAGGGAGGAACGTGATCTTCTTTGCCTCTGCTCTTAGGATTTTTCTAGTTCTTTGTTTCACTGATTCTTATAGCAATTTGCACTGCCCTAAACCACTTCCTGGAGGCCAAAATGTTTTATTACACAGATATAAATTTGACTTTAAAATTCTTATTGTGCTGGGAATCTTAAAAAAAAAAAAGTGAGAGTAGCATGAAAGGGATGTGCTCAGAAAACCAGAATGAAGTCCAGGAACCAACAAGCCATGGAAAGCAAAACAGAAAATGAAGGTGATCTCTGGGGGGAATTTAGGGCAGGAAGCTGACATTTTTTAGTGTTTGAAATATGATAAGGAAAAAGCCTAACTCTGATACAGGGCAATTTTGGGGAGGAAAACCTATTTGCTGTCTAAAAAGACTATAGCACTATAGAAAGGGGTAAAAGGGAGTCTGAACTCACTGCTCACAAAAGCTGCTGAAAGACCACCCTCCTCTGATTCATTAAGAAGCAGAGCTGCCCCATAGAAATCTGGGCTGTCAGCTTCAAGCTGAGTCCTACACAAACAGAACCATCAACAAACCTTTACTGAAATCGTGTTGAGAACATGAATCAGAATCTATTTTGGGAAAAGAGCCATGAAGAATGGAACCAGAGATGAAGCTCCCCAAGGAGATGTTGAGCTGTTTTTTTATGAGGAGCAGACTCCCTGATAACCCTAAAGACATCCATGTGGAGCCTTTCGTATGCTTGGATGATTGTTCCAGGGAAATTGTAAAGCAACAGGGCATCTAATTGTCCATCAGAAGTTAGCTCAGATGAGATTGGGCACGTTAAGGGTGGTATAAGTCGTGGTACCACAAAAATCCTAGTGGAAAACATAGGCAGTAAAATTTCAGACATCCCACATAGCAATATTTTTGCCCATATGTCTCTCTAGGGCAAGGGAAATAAAGGAAGAAACAAACAAATGGGACTACATCAAATTAAAAAGCTTCTGCACAGCTAAAGAAACCAATATCAAAATGAAAAGGGAACCAACCATATGGGAGAACATATTTGCCAGTGATATATTGGACAAGGGTCTAATCTCCAAAATATATAAAGGACTCATATGACTCAATAGCAGGAAGACAAGCAATCCAATTTAAAATGGGCAAAGGACCTGAATAGACACTTCTCCCAGGAGGGTATACAGAGGGCCTACAGACATATGAAAAGATGCTCAACATCACTAGCCATTAGAGAGATGCAAGTTAAAACTGCAATGAGATATGACCTCACACCTGTCAGAATGGTGATCATTAATAAATCAACACACAACAAGTGCTGGTGAGGATGTGGAAAAAAAAAGGGAACCCTGGTGCACTGTTGGTGGAATTGCAGACTTGTGCAGACACTGTAGAAAATAGTATGAAATTTCCTCAAAAAATTAAAAATGAAACTGCCTTTTGACTTAGAAATTACACTGCTGGGAATATATTCTAAGAATCCCGAAATACCAATTGAAAAGAACTTATGTACCTCTATGTTCAGAGCAGCATTATTTACAATAGCCAAGATTTAGAAACAGTCTAAGATGCCCAACAATATATGAGTAGATTAAAAAAATCTACACATTTGTGAAATACTACACATCAGAAAAAAAGAAGGAACTCCTATCTTTCATGACAGCATGGATGGAACTGGAGACTATTATGCTAAGTGAAATAAGCCAGTCAGTGAAAGACAAATACCCTATAATCTCACTTATAAGAGGAATTTAATGAACATAATAAAGTAATGAGCAAAATAGAGCCAGAGGCATGGAACTGTGGAATAGATTGATAGCTGTAAGAGGGGAGGAGGGAGATGCAGGGACCATTTGAAAGAAGGTGAAGGGATTAATCAAAGAATATATCGAAGGACCCATGGACATAGACAATGGTGCACAGAATGACTATGGAAATCCGGAGAGGACGGGCTGGAGGGGGATGAAGCGGGGTGGGAAATGGGGACAACTGTAATAGCATAAACAATAAAAAAGTTAGCTCAGCCTGCAATTCTGACCATCCAATGAGATGCAGCTCTGAGTTGTGAGGAGTCAAAACTTGGCTGAATATTGAAGATAGAGGTTAAAAAACAGTTGTCTAAATACATATCAAATGACAAAGCTGCACATTTGGGGTTAATCTAACAAACACAAGATCTACTCTTAATGAGGTGGGGGACAAATAGGTAAGAGCTAAGAGATCTGGAGAGAAGAGATGCCTTGGGAAAAGGATGAGGAAGATACTAGTAACTCTGTATAACAGAAAAAATGGTGAGAAGATGTCATGTCCAGAAATATGCCTTCTCTAAATCTTTCTGAAAGAAACCATTTCCTTGACTCAAACAAAGGTACCACTGAAATTATACCTCCATGTTACCATTGCTTTATAGGAATGAAACATGTGACTTAAAAGTATTAGAAATTCTTAGAATAAGTACTAAACATCAATAATTTCCATTAGCCTCTGAGCAACAATGTACATTTCTGTGATCCTTTTGTTTTCTCAGGTTCTTCACTCTCCTTTAAAATCTCTCTCTCCTAAGATGTCAACTTTCATCTAAGGTACACATTCCTCTATGAAATCACTTCAAGAGATACCAGGAGGAAGTGAGTATCATAGGTTTAACTTCCAATTGCATCTTCTTTCAGCCTACTTTCCTCTCAGTCATAGGTCTACCTGAGGATTTCAGAGTTTTTGCTTTAAGAACAAGGTCAAAGTCCACTTCATCAGACCTTACCTTTGATGCCCTGAAGGAGAAGGCTGTAGCCTTGGTGTCTGACTTTCCCCGGTCTTGCAGTATTAGGCCTTGGTCCTCTGTCAAGGCCAGGTAGTGGCCTGTGGTGAGATGCCGCAGTCGGAAAGCCTGGCCCCATCTGATGTTACTGCCACTCCAGCTGGGCAGATGAGACATATGAGAAATTACACTTACACAAAAATAAGTACTTTTCAATATTTATTCTGTGCTTCCATACACACGCTAGCAGACTTACATGGTGTCCACAGTTCATCCTCTAAGGGACCAAGCACCAACCCTCTGGTTTGCTCTAGGATTTCCTGTCTGCCTAAAATTAAGCATGGTGCTCTCTTGTGATTGCCCTTCAGAACACCAATAAGAAACATGATCGTGGGGGCAGGGCAACAGTCTACTTTCACTGGAAGGTCCAAACTTCCCATTTTTCCTTCACTCGACTGAAGTATCTTAATGCAAAAACAAAAACAGAAAAAAGAATAGGAAGGTTGCCTTTTTAAGGGAAACTTGTTTCTGGGAAAGCCAAGCCTTTCCAAATGTGCCACCTGAACTCAAACACCTTTCCACCACAAAAATCTAATCTTCAAGAGACAGAGCAAAAATGTTTGTGCAGCTTACACTTGCCAGAGAGAGGGAGATAATAAATAAGCCTAATAAATAAATTAATATTGTGGTATATTAAAAGGCAATAAATTCTATGGGTGAAAAGTAAAACAGGATGAGATATTTTCAATAAGATAAGAAAGATCCCATATCGAATACCAAGTTTTTTATGGTCCTACATCAAAAGCTTGGCATTCGACAAAAGTTACAGTAAGTGCCAGGGAGAAATTATCCACTGAATAATTTATACATTTATCTTTTAAGTTAGAATGGAACATTTAAGAGATACATGCACCAAATTTTTAAAAACTTTTCTTTTTATCCAACTCTTTGGAGCACCAGCAAATCCAAAGTACATTGTTAAAGGCTTAAATTCTTCATGCTTTAAATGCTGGGGAAATAAACAACCATTATTAGAAGTCTACATACATACTTGTTTTGACTTTTTATACAAGTCCATTAAGTAAGAATCACAGGCTGATATCCTGAGAAACAGTATAAAGCTTAACAGGGCTGGAAAGAGAATGTAAAGCCCTGAGCCAGATAACAAGCAGGTGCTCCTTAAAACCACTTTTCCTTAAACCAGCCATCTCCAGAGCTCTCAGTAAAAAGTTGAATGTGTGTATGTGTATGTATAAGAGAAGTCGTAATGCCTGATTGGTAATGGGTTATTTTGAGAGTACTTCATGAGAGAGACTGTTACTTTGAACATGTGTTCAGGGGAAGAATGAGCAGACAGTTAGAGAGAAAGTTAGAGAGGGAAAACCAAGATGGCCACACTTGACCCCCTCTCTTATCCCAAGCAGTTTAGCTGTAGCCTCACTTGCAGTCCCTGTCAACAAACTTAACTGGATCCCCTTTAGTGGTCTGATGTTTAGAGACCATATGTTTTTGCTCAAGCATATAGCTCCAGAGTCTCAGCCTCCTGTTACTTCCATCCAGATGCAGCACTGTTTCTAACAAGTTCTGGTAAATGCCGTTTTTTCACAGCTATGTTTTCAATGATGTTCTTGTCTTCCCTACCTCATGTGATCATGACCACCACTATGTCACTTAGAGATAACTTTCCAATGGAGCCAACAGAGCTACTGAGAAGAAGGAGACTTAATGTGGATTCTAGAGAATCTGTTTAAGAAAACAAATGGAAGAAGAGTGCTGTTGACTTCCAGTGGTCATGACTGAGCTTGCCTTTTGTGACGCAGATGCTGCAAGGGCAGAGGAGCTGCCTGGCTTTATAATCAAAACAGAGGTCCTGGAAATTGTGATTGTTCATGTGTGCGTGTTGTTATTGTTGTCATTGTTCTTCTTCTTTAAAAACAAAGTTACAGAAACTTCAGATTTAGCTGTGGGCCAAGAACTTTTGAGGGTTTGCTGGGTGATATGGAACAAATGAAGTAGTATTTAATTTCTCCTCTCAGAAATTAAGAGAAAGGACTGTACCAGAAAAGGAAGCAATCTTGAGAGCACCACCCTGACCCTCCATTACCTAATCCGAAGGGGTTCCACTCTCCACAGAGATCTGGCTCGTGTCCCAGCTCCCCCAGCTTCATAGAATAATCTCCTGTGAGCAGAGTTGGAGATTAGTTCCTGACACTGATCAGCACCGGATGGGGGACAGCTCCCTGCGGAGGTTCCCACATTGTTTTTCTAAGTCAGCAAAACAAGAGTCAAAGGGAGGGCATACATTCTTTCAAACTGTTGTTTCTGTGTTCTTAGGATATATTCCCAGTGGGATCACTGGGTCAAAAGGCAGTTCTGTATTTAATTTTTTAAGGAAATTCCATACTGTTTTCCACAGTGGCTGCACCCATCTGCATTCCCACCAACAGTGCACAAGGGTCCCCTCAATAAATTTAATAAAAAATAAAGTAGCTTGAAAAAAGGAGTCAGAGAGGCACACTTTGTCAGTCTCTGTTATGAGGAGAAAAAGTGCTAACGATGAGGGAATTGCTTGTCATATACGTATCATGGCCACTCACAAACCATCTATCAGGTGTACAATGAAAAGGATCTCCATTTCCACATCAGGAGTCAAAACAGCCAGTCACATGATCAGACTCAATACCAAATGCTCCAGTTCTTTCAGGTTAAGTGCCTTGATGTTGATGTTTTACAACTTTTAAAATGCATTTGCACTTTGAAAACATATACATAGTATAGTGTGAATTCATTTCTACTGTTCTAGGATGCTCAGAACAAAACTTTATGCTCAGTGACTACAGTGTTCATGATTTTATTACTTCGCTCTTGTCTCCTTTCCTGAAATAAGATAAGCTTTTAATGTGTTTAATAAAATGTTTATTTTGGAATAATTTTAGATTTACAAAAAAGTTGTAAAAACAGTACAGAGGGTTTGTGTATAGTCTCACTTGCTTCCCCCTAATGGTATCATTTGACATGACAATGGTACCATGTCAGAGCTAAGGAACTACCATCGGTACATCATTACCAGCTAAATTCAAGACTTCATCGGGATTTCACCAGTTTCTCCATTATTTTTTTTTCCTGTTCCAGGATGCAATCCAAGACACCACAATGTATTTAGCTGTCACGTTGCCTGTTTCCTCTGATGTGTTATAACTTCTTCGTCTTTTCTTGTTTTCCATGACTTTGGCAGTTTTGAGGAGTGCTGGCCAGGTATTCTGGAGAATGTCCCTCGATGTGGGTTTGCCTGATGCCTATCTGATGATTAGCAAAGCCTGCTTTTAATCTATATAACTGGAGTTGACCTACCTAAATGACAGATTGTGAGGAATTAAATTAACTATTCTAGTTGTCTTTGGCTTACCTGGTATATTAAACCCAGATACTTTTTGAGAATCTCATGATCTTAGGTTAAGACTGATCATTAAGATGCATTTAAATTCACCATAGAGGATTTGTATATAGTACATCAAAATTGAATCACTCAAGTCCCTGTAAAACTTGATCTAGGTTTTTGAGACAATAGGTAATCAATAGAGGTGAAGAGGAAATGTCTAATTATTTTTACCCTAAAATAGTTGTATAATCATGAGACAGTTAAAATATGGGGCCTGGTAGTCAGGCAGACCTAGGTTTGAATCTGTTAGCTGCATGTGGTAGTCAGGCAGACCTAGGTTTGAATCTGTTAGCTGCATGACCTTAATCAAGTCCTTTCAACTCCATGCATCAGTTTTCTCATTGGGAAGGTCTAGTTAGGGGACTTAAGTCACAGAATGGCTGTGAGGGTTTAATGTGTTCTGTTGTAATCAATGTGCCCAAAGATGCTCCCAGATACACAAAATATTATGTATTGTGGATTAATCCAAATTCTGTTTAAACACAGATGTTTATAAACATGCATACAAAAATGCAGTTAATGGTATAGAAATACAATGAAAAATTATATTAACAGTGGTTATTTCTGGGTGGTAGATGACTGAAGGCATTCTAAATCTTTCTCGAATGTACACATTATCAGCAAATATGTACTAAATATTAGGAAAGAAATCTTACATTACTTTATTGCTCTGAAACCCCAGGTGTCTGTGTACCAGGCCTAGAATGGTAATAATACTGCACTAGCCTCCTAGCCACACAAGAAAATGTGCTGAGGTTTTCACTAATGCTTCTCTTTCCTCACTGAGGGCTGGAGGGATCTGTAAGGAGGAGAGGGCAGAGCAGCTCACCCTAGGTTGCACAATTAGAGAACCCTCTCCCTCTGACATCTGAAGAATTCTGGAAGGTTAGTCCTATCCACCTAGGCAATGATGGAAGCTTGTTTCATTTATTCTCTCAAGGTTACAGAAGTTGAAACAACCTGTTCCCATTCTCTAAAACAATTAACTCAAGGAGAGGAGTAGAGTGGGTGGTGAGCTGAGGTGCCTTTGAAAGCTTGGCTGACAGCTTAGCCTTGACTTCAATAGCTTAAGTGACTTACTCCAGAGTGCTTGACAAGCCAGAGGCACAGACAAGGATCAGAGCTCAGAAAGCTAGGTTGATTTTGGGTTTGCACCCTGGGACAGTCAGTCTCTCTATCTAGCCTCACCGCTCTCAGGCTTTAGAGGGAAGAGAAATTACTTTCACCTGAAAGTCAGCCCTATTAAGTGGAATCACTTACATGGGTTTATTTTTTTTAGTGTGTTCTCTATTCCCTATTCCTTTGTGCTGTCCCAGATTCCAGTATTCCTGGCCATCCTGGCCCATTCTGAGAATTTACCTGTTGACATAGGATAGCCATGAGGCTCGCCACTCACCTTACCTAGACAGCAAATAATGCCAAGACATCCTACTTTCACTAAGAGACCAGCTGACACAAAAATTCAGGTTCCAGTATAAGAAAGAGTTACTCACTCACCCCAGTCTCAACCCCTTCACACTTCCTTACTGAGGAATGGATTTAAGCATTCTCATTTTTACCTGTGAATTTCTTTAAAAAATACAATTTAGATCCCGAGGAATCCTCAGCCCAGGGAAGGCCACCTTCACTCTCACCTCAGTGATGGCACACGTGCCTGCTTCAGGTGCCCATTTGGGACCTTTCTATCTGTTTCACCCTCCCCAGCATTTCCTTTCAAATACCTGTGCAGCCTTTCTTTTTAGTCGGGATCTTGTTGAACCACCCGACTAAAGTGCCCACCAAATGGCATGACTCCCCAAGCAGTGACTTTTCTGCACAGGCTTCTCCTAATATGGCTCTATATTTAATGACAGGTGTGTGGTGGTGGGGGGGGGGGCGGGTGGGGGAAGCCATGTACGGGATTAGTGTTTCATTTTCCCCACATTCCTATCCTTAAAAGAAGAATAGGATTGAGAAGAACTAGTGAGTTCTGATGGATTCCATTTTAGGTGTAACTCTGGAAAACTCACCCACAAAACTTCAGTTCTTTATTCACCTGCAAACTTTCCCCTGATACAGCAGAATAAAATAATAAGAGAGATGATACATGGGCAATTGCATAACTCACTGATAAAGAAAAGGGAATGAAAACTGCAAGTGAATAGGACCACAGGATATTATGTAGAACAAGGAATTCTCAATTCTAAGGGAAACCAAGAGTGCCTCACCATTGGACTAGTGCCAGGGAGGTGGTGAGTGAATTGATCAGGCATTTGCCATAGGTCTGTGCTTCATCTGTCCTAGACTCTGCTCTGGTTCCCATGGCACATCTGGTTCCCATGAAGGGATATTGAGAGGACAGAACAAGCAGGAAGAGACTCAGAACAAGAAGGAATACATATTGCCAATGGATGGTTTCTAAAATATACAATAGTATGTTCCAGCTCATTGCTCCTGGGAGTTCTTGTGTACATTGAATAAGGAATGAGCCCTGGATGGGCAGTCTACAGCTCTGGCTTCTAGGTTCCCATCTAAGATCACTCAGTGTGCGTCCTTGGGGTAGGCACCTGCCCTAGATGATTTCTAAGTTGTGTGGATGTGGCCCCATGTTTCTAATAAAGTAAAGGAGACATTTGACAAGGTTCCCTTAGGCATGATGCAAAAACAAAGAATGTTTTACTGCCAGGATATCGGACACAGTGCTGTTCCAAATTCAATCTAAAGTACCCCTCAGTATGAATTTAAGACCTGTATTGATATCTTCCATCTTTGGTTTTAAATTTCTGAAAAACATTCATTGATGGGTCAACTAGAGGAGAAGAAAAAGTACCACTGTCAACAGCACCCTCTAAATGTAGCCCTTGGCACCATCCCCTGCTAAATCCAGCTCCAGCTGGATAGTGACACTTGGTTCCTTCAATCCTGTTTGGTATTAAGCAAAAGGAAATCACCAAACGCCACCTTAATTACTTAGCTCATGAATGGGGAATAATAGTGATGATCTGCTTGTAAAGAGTCTGGTGGATAATTTATGTAAGTTCACAGACCCATTAGAGTCATTAGCTTGATTTCTATTACTGAAGGGGGTGATTCAGGCTACAATTAATACTACCAGAAACTCCTTAGAGACAGGAGCAACCAAAGAAAATAAAGGGGTTGGAAAGCATTATAGATCTGCTTGCCAAAGAAGCAGTACATGTATATATGAGGTCTGTCTATTAAAAGTCCAGCCATTGTTAATATAATGAAAATGGTTTTCACAACATTGATGTAACCTAGCAGTCAAGGAGAGTGGACTGGAATGCACATGTGTGAACAATGATGACTTCACTGTACTAGTCAGTGGGGGTGGTAGATGCCATTGAGTGAGCACGTGTACCATGTGGTCATTGCATTCAAAATGACTGAGCAAGTAGACCAATTTATCTGCATCAGATTTTGTGTTAAGCTCGAACATTCCTCTGCTGAAACTATTTGGATGATTCAGAAGCCTGCAGCTATGGGCAACTGGTGATTGGCAGCTCCATCACAACACACCCACTTGTGCATCCCATCTTGTGCAGAGTTTTTTAGAGAAACATCAAATCACCCAGGTGACTCCGCCACCCTATAGCCCAAATTTGGCACCCTGTGACTTCTGGCTTTTCCCAAAACTAATCACCTTGAAAGGGAAGAAATTTTAGACCATTGATGAGATTCAGAAAAACATGACAGGGCAGCTGATGGTGATTGTGGGGTTTGCTATTGACCACCAGTTACAGAATTCATCTGTGGCCACATCCACATGCAAGCTCTTCAGTGTGAGTCATCTGAGACTAGAGACAGGTAGGAGAAGGAGGAAGCTATCAGCTTACCTGTGCTGGGCATCATTTTGATCGGTAGATGGTATCGTCAAACACTCATCATGACCATGGAAAAGACGTACTACATGCCCTCCAAGTAGGTATCCTAGAAGAGAGTTACATTCTACCATGAACTGATGAAAAGCTTAATAAAGAGAATATCATGTTTAAAAGGATAAATTTGTGCAGGTTTGTGTCAGTTATGAAAAACACCAAGAGAGAAGTATTTGGGAAATTACAGATTCCATGAATTCAGGCCTCAGGCAGAAAAGACAAGAATGTCAAAACAATTCTAACATTGAAAGTTAAATAGGTCTCAGGGATGAGCAAGTCCAACATCAAAAAGTAAGGTGAAAATGGTGTCAATTCATAGCATTAAGAACCAAAAAGAAAATAAGTTGCTACTGTTAAGGATTTTTCCAACTGCTTGTGATGTAAAGACATTCGACAGCAAATTCCTGGATGAGCTCTTAGATCTCACTGTGTGTGTTTTGTGGCAAAACTCAAATCAGACTGCAGTCATGGGAAAGAAAGGAGGAGCTGGGAAGGGGGCTAGCCAACTGTTATTAAACATTGTCTTAGGAGAAGCTAGCTTCTGAATGCATTTAGCAAACACAGATCAAAACTGGGCACTGATCCTACTGCTTTGAGGGGAAGCAGAATGATATTCCAGTATTCCTGAGTTGACAAGCATAGATGCCACTATCAATAAGCTCTTAGCTTTTATAACAAGAAAAGGAATCTGAATAGCTAAGGAGTTCAGAGATGGATAGGAAACAGAAAGATTCAAGCAATGATGACCAATTCATCTTCAAATAAATTCTTAGCCTTAATTCTAAGCATGCAGTAGCAGGAGAGGGGCCCCAGTCTGAGCTTTACCTTGCACAGAGAAGTGGACATTTTAAAAAAGAATTTTAAATTTATTTTTAGAGAGAGAGGAAGGGAGGGAGAAAAAGAGGGAGAGAAACATCAACGTGTCGTTGCCTCCGGCACACCCCCTACTAGGGACCTGGCCCACAACCCAGGCATGTGCCCTGACTGGGAATTGAACCAGTGACCCTTTGGTTCGCAGGCTGGTACTCAAGTCACTGAGCCATACCAGCCAGGACAGAAGTGGGCATTTTTTTATCCTACTGAATTAAAAAATTCTCCAGGCTAGTCTGTTCTCAGGAGACATAATGAACTTAATATGCTCAATGTCTGTATTAGGATTATTTTTTAATCACATAATTAGATCACTTTAGGGGCTGTCAAACTATTTGGGTGTTGGATGAAATCAGCAGGAATGAGAAGTCATGCCAGAGGAGAAAAGCATTACCAATGTATCTTGTGCAGGGGCAGTCTGGTATCCTCCATTTTTTTGTTTTGTATCCAGGCAAGGCAAGTTTTTTTTTTTTAAACATCCCCCAAACATTCAGAAGTCTTTTTCCATTTTTCTCAATGTTATTGTACTAATATTTTCAGTTACATATTTTTTTTTGCATTAAGATAATTTATGACATACTGTAGGGGAATTCTTAACAGTCAATTTATTTAGAAAATGAAAATCATCCATGATCATGCTCTTGCATAAACTCCCCATCGTCTCATGATGGTGAGACCATGCCCCATTGGGAGCTCATCACTTACAGTCCTCAGGCTCCTCCAATCAACATTTTATCCACACGGAGAAAACTGCTCAGTGCCAGCACATCACAGCATTTCTTAATTGAAACATGCAGGGCAACAGTCAGGAAAGAAGGATCATGATGAGGGTCACTTACACTCTCAAGGGCTGCAGTGGGTTTCTCACCAGTGGGTCCTGCAAGGCCAGTGTCTATAGGGCCAGACGACTCACGTGATGAGCTGCCCAGGTTCTATGACAAGGGCACTCAACACTTCTAGAAGGACCTTCCTGACGTGATTTCCAAACACTTCTTAATTAGTCTCCACAAGCCCTCTTTTGGGACTGGGAAACAATTTTATTCCCATAGTGACAATGAAAATTTAACATGGAGAAAAGTCAGTCAAAACTCCCCTGGGGAAGATTTAAACCCAGTGTTTCCTGATTCTTCATAGAAAGGGATTGATTGACAACTGACAGAGGATGGTGGGTTAATTTTGGCATAAAACAAGAGGGTTAAATGTTCCACAAGTTGCTGAAAGGGTTAAAAGTCTGCTGTCCCCTGATCACTCAGTTGAGCTATGATGCCTTCTAAAGCTGGGATATCACCTTGACACTTTGTTTGCCATTTGCAAACATTACCTACCATAGGAGGACATTCCTAGTTTGAAACTACTAGGCTCAAGATTAAAAACAAGGTTAAAGCCTGTGATGTAAATATTTTAAAAATTTTTGATCTTGCTCTAAGTGCTGGAATCTTATGTGATGACCTACAGGCCACTGACATTTGATTATTCTGCTCAGCTGTGATATTACCCGTGAGTAAGATAAGGTCAGTATATTTACTGCATAACTTGAAAGGTGCATTAACTTTTCCTGGCTCCAAGAAATAGGATATGTTGAACAAATTTTGAGGCTCTTACTTCCAAAGGAAATATAAAATACTGAGAACATTTTATTTATTATTTTTAAATGGCCTTCCAGAAATAGAAGTTGAAACACAAAGCCAAATGTACTCTTATTAAAAAGAAAAGTCCTCCCACCTGTACGGAGAGATGCCTTGGGAAGAAATATTAACAACATCACATTCTTGGCAAATAATCTCCTCTAAAATTTAAGTTGCTGAGGTCTGTACACTTATAACTATCACTGTAAATAAAAATGAAGAGTCAGTAGATGAGGAAGGGTGCATATCCAAGTCCCAAATGCATATAGTGCTAAAATAATAGTGGACTCCAAAGGATTAAACATAATTCCAGGAATGCTCATGTGATCAGAAATTAGGATAGAAAATAACCCATACCAACATCAGAGAAAGGAAGTCAGGTGAACTAAAATCAAGCTGTGTATCGAGACATGCATGTGGGAGTTGGGAGGCAGCAGAAAATGTCAATACATATAGCACAAGGCAGGCTGGCAGCTTGAGGGCTGCATGCATATAAAAAGCATACCTTCTTCGATGCTACTTCCTGAGCACGTAGGATGTACATTCCAGAGTGTTTGCATAAAGGAGGCATCCACTTGTATGTTAGCATTTGATATTGAGAGATGCTGTGGCAGAAACAAAAATGAGACATCCTTTAAATCACCTGGCCAGTCCTGACAGAAGCAGTTCTCCTAGAATTTGAAGGATCAAATTAAACAGCCTTAGCATCATCTGACTCTTTCTACATAGCTGTGAAAGATTTCTTCACTCAATCTAGAAGCAGCTTCAAAGTGGGATACTATTCAGGGAAGATGAAGTTTTAGCTCCAGAGGTGACAGACAAGTGTTGACTTCATCCCTTCAGCTGGCTCCTTGATTCCACAGGAATTTATACAATGTTTATTTTTGGCAGGACAGAGAACTCACAAATGGGAAAAATTACTCCAGTCTTCAGTGTAGGCAATGTAAAGTCTGCCAACAGGATTGGCATTCAGAAGCTTAAAAACTTACTTCTGACATTTCTCTGATCTTCAGATATCACTCACACACACATACCCCCCCCACACCCCTCCAGTCCAGGGCTTGATGTTAGTGATGAGAGCCTAATGCCTATCCCAGGTGCAAAATCTTACCTGCAGCTTCCAACCGCTATGACATTTCACATGCTGAAACATTTTAAATTCCTTTCTTTCATCAATAGCAGCTTATTTGTCTCTATCCCACTCTTTCAGGACTGTTCTTTATTGGACAAGAGCTAAACAATGTGATACACTCAGAGTAATGGCAGCTAATGTGTGCATAGCTGGCTTTCTCTGCAAGTGCCTTGAACAGTTTAGCAGAGGTTGCTGGGCACAGTGCCTTATTCTGAAAGGATCCTTCACTGTTAAATTCCAGGCCCCATGACAACCTGGCAGGGGAGAGGATTTAATCACCTCTTAAGTATGCTATGTAAAGGCATCTGTCTTATCCTGCGCAACCTGTTGTGACTCTGTTCTCCTTGACCAACTGTTCCCAAAAGGAAATGTTCTGGAAATGAAAGATGCCTGTGTTAGGAGGTACTTACAAGGTATCTTTCAGAGGACACGCTGACGAGGATGAGGTCATCTCCAATTCGAACTTTTTCTCCTTCAGACCTCTGTTTGGAAGCGGGATGTATGGTCCACCAACAGGCTTCTCCTGCATAAAGACTCCTGAGGTCAGTCATTGCTTCATAGAAGCCCTTGTCTCTAATTCTGTCCCTCACTCTGTTTGCTCCTGATAATAGTAACCCCCCGAACACACACACACTCCGGAACCCAATTTCTATTTATCCATAGGCATTCTAGCTAGCCCCACATCTGCTTTTGCCTATGTTGACTGTTTTTTTCTAGAGGCAGAAAGGCAGTGTTGCAAAGAGTATTGGAGGCCAGCAGCTATAGAAGTCTGAGTATTTTTAATACATAGAGAAAAATGCTCTCTTCCTAGGTACTTACAAATCTTTAAGAATTGACTTCTTTGGACTACTGACCACTCACAGACTTTTTTAAAAATCTTTTCCCTGGCCCTCCCATGAATTCTACTAAAATATCAGTGTTTCTACTGAAGATGATGAGAGATTTTTCAAAAAGCCAAAATCTACAAGAACTAAGATAGCAGGATGTGAAGTTGACAGCAATACAGAGAAACTGACATTTTGTAAAAAAAAAAAAAAAAGAAGATAGATGGTTTTAGCCCAAAGAAAGCTAAAAACTCAAGTTTTTTTGGTAAGAAAATGGATGAGAAGACAATCTCAAGAAATAGAGCCATTCCTGTTGCATATTACCCAGAAAGCCTCTGGAACTGGAACTAACAGTTACTTGTGCAGGCAACAGTAGGAGACAGGGCTGAAAACAGGAGGGCTGGCTCAAGGTTTTAAAGGAACATTTAACCCTCTGCATGCTTTTTTCTGTGCTGCACACACAGATAGGGAAGTCTTCCTCCTCCACCCAAAAGAAGAAGTTAAATCCATGGAATGAGAAACCATCAGCAGTCTGGGTTTAGAAATACCAGGCACTGTCAAACAAGGAGGTAAAAAATACTGAAGATAGAGAATAACTAAAATTCTATGTCCTGGTTAGTAACTCCAGCTCCCTTCTCTTTGGCTTCCAGAATGCCAGTTGTGATGCTGACTCCCTCCCCACTCCCAGATTTGAGGATTGCTCTTTAGGGAAGCCAAATTCCCAACATAAAAGATGCTGCTGTCCTGGCGCCCCCCGTGAAATGCCTAGGTCCCATCTGGATTGCCTAAAAGTGAGCTATAAGAGAGGGCAAGTCACACTCGGAGCTTCCAGTCAGCTCCTACTGCCCTGATCTAAACCTGAACAGAGGCAAAGGATCAACAGGCATCTGAGGAAAGTCTGATGTGAATGACAGGAACAAAACAAAAAGGGGGAAAGGGACTTAGAGAAAACAAAGATTAAAGAGAGACAAAGAAAACTTTAAAAAATATTGTAGTAATAATCTCAGAGAGATAAGAAGAAGTACATTAATGAAGCAGCAATGAACATGTCCAGGAAAGATCCATTTGGAGAAAAAAGAAAAACTCTCTGATTCTGAAAAAGAGAGAAAGAAAGGGTTTAGGATCAAGTTGAAAATTTCTCCCAAAAAGAAGAACAAAGAAACAGGAGTGAGAAGACAATTAGAAAACCAATCTAGAGAATTTCCAGGAAATAGAACAGAGAAAAGGGAGGAATAAAATAAATAAATAAATAGTATGAAAAATGCTTCCAAACCTGAAAGACAAGCATTTTTATATTGGGAAGGTCTACAAAGTGCCTAGCACAGTGGAGAAGAGAGACCTACACCAGGGGCCATGCCTGTGAAGCTTAGAAGACAAAGGATCCAGGTCTAAAGATATCACTGTGGAATTTCAGACATTAGGGCAAAAGAGAAGATCGAGATAACTCCCAGAAAATATAAACAGGGCATACACAGAGGATCAGAAATCAATAAATAGGCAGACCATAAACTAAGAGAAAATAGGTAAAAACCTTTGGGATGCTGAGAAAAGAAAATTTCCCATGTAGAATACTGTGAATTACTTGTGAAGCTGCAATTAAGAAACTTTTAGATGACAGTTTTGCCTCCCATGAATCTCTTCTGTAAAAGCTACTGGATAATGGGCTCCACCGAAGTGAGGTAGTAAACCAAGAAGAGAGAAAAACATAAGATCCGGGAAACGCGGAATATAGGAGAGGGCAAAGGAAATTTCCTGGGTGATGGTGGATGTTTCTAAGAAGATAAAACCGAGAGAATGGCTAATGTGATTGGATCTAATCAGGGGAGAGTTTCAGTTCTATGGAATAATTTAGACGTGAATGAATGATTGAGCTACCGAAAATAAAACAAACAAGGCAATTATTTTTAAAGAAATTTTGTTTATTTATTTTTAGAGTGAAGGGAAGGAAGGAGAAAGAGAGAAAGAGAAGTATCAATGTGTGGTTGCCTTTTACCCGTTCCCTACCAGGGACCTGGATCGCAACCCAGGCATGTGCCTCAACTGGGAATTGAACCAGTGACCCTTTGGTTCACAGGCCTGTGCTCAATCCACTGAGCTACACCAGCTGGGGCTCAAATAAGGCAATTACTAACTACTGCAAAATTAAAAAATAATAAAGTGAAGTGAGCATAGTATGTGATGAGTCTCATTTGCAAATAAAAGTTACAGTTATATTGATAGAAGTAGTTTATATTGATTTGGTAGTTACATGTAAATATATTGGGAAGGTGGGAAGAAGATAGGAAAGAATGGATCATAAGAGTTATTTTTTATTCCTCACTTGGAACCATCAGTAGATAATACCTAATCTGGAAAGAATAACTAAATAGTATGCTATATTATTCATAAACAAGTGGTAAACAATACTAAAGGAACTGAAAGTAGGTGCCTGGAGAGAGGGTGGGGCCCCAGGAGAGGGAAGGGTGGGGAGGAGACTGTTTTCAATAACTAAAAGGACTCTTTACTTCTTTAAACTATATATAGGCATTACTTTGATTAAGTAATTATGCTTATTTTGATAAAGTTTAAAATTTCATGACAAGCCCTGGCTGGTGTGGCTCATTGTATTGAGTGCCAGCCTGACACCCAAAGGGTCGCAGGTTCGATTCCCAGTCAGGGCACATGCCTAGGCTGTGGGCCAGGTCCCCAGTAGGGGGTGTGCAAGAGGCAACCACACATTGATGTTCCTCTCCCTCTTGTTCTCCTTCCCTTCCCCTCTCTCTAAAATTAAATAAAATCTTTAAAAAAACTATAAATAAATAAATAAAAAATTTCATGACTAAAGGTAGGTTGACTCCACATTTTCAAAGGAAAATGATATTTATATCCATTATGTACTCTGGACGACTAAAGGTGTTTGGGATAAAGTGGGTCTTAAACAGTCACATGGAGGAAGAGTCTACTTCTTCTACTGCTCTCTCCTGGGAACAGCTCAGTGGTCAGAGCCATTCCCAGAATCAATAGGATATGGGCCAGTTGATGACCCTAAAATACATAAAAGAAAAACACTAAAAGCACTGTTTTCATATTTATTTCCTCCTAAGTCTCATTTTAAAGCTACCTCTAAACACTAAAAACAAAACAACAACAACAACCCTTAAAAGGAAAAAAGAAAGGACTCAGTGACCAAAACCAAGGGGGAAATAATCAGCAATTCTTTTTTTTAATCCTCAACTGAGGACATGTTCACTGACTCTAGAAAGACAGGAAGGTGTGGGGAGGGGGGAGGGGGAGGGTGAAGGGAGGGGAGAGGAACGGGAGGCGGGGGGAGAGAGAGAGAGAGAGAGAGAGAGAGAGAATATGTTGCCTCCTGTATGTGCCCTAACAGGGGATTGAACCTAGGTATGGGCCCTGACTGGGTATTGAACCTGCAGAACTTTGGTGTACAGGATGATGTTTCAACCAACTGAGCCACCCAGCCAGGGTGACCACCAGTTCTTTTAAGTCAGTCAAACTATTTAATACCCTCTATGCAGGGGGAATTTCAGAATTGTTCAAGTAACTGCCTTCAAACTTCTCACATTGTCCTAGTGATTCAACTCAACTCTTGAACACTTACTTGTTTTCAACTTAGAAGAGGTTCTGGAGCCAAAGGTGCATCCATAGAATGACCCAGTAGGAAACAGAATGGGTACTCTGTTGAATTCTGAGTGCATCTCCTCCTGGAGTGAGAAGACTCCGCCAGGCAATACTGAAACTTATCTGAGCTATACGTGTATTCTCCTCCCTCACAAATACCAAGCTGGCCTTCTTCAAGGACAGTATGAGATGGGTTTGGGTGAGAGAGGTAAAATAAATTGTGTTAAAGGGCTCTAGATTTTCATGAACACCTGGTCAATCCTTTCCCATCTGTCTTCTGCCTCAATTAGCTTCTGATCAGCCAATTTGAATTCGGGTTGGTTCATGTGTTCATCTGTCGACAGAATTTACACCACGCCTGATTTGAGGGATTTAGAAAAGAGTGCTGGATAGAGTAATATCTGATGCAATTTCCCTCAATTTTATTGGAGTCTCTAATATTTAAATGAATTTCCTGAACACATGACTACAAAGTGGTCAATTTCTTCCCAGCTCTCAAAAAGTCTAAAGTCATTTTACCGATGTAGGTAGAATGACATATAACTTTTCTGATTGCATGCTCCGAGACTGACAGCTGGTTTATATTAGAGGCCAATTTACATTCAGAGAGTGTGGTACTTCACTCATTTGATAATTTTCAGATGATGTTGACAACACCTTAGAGGAAAGTATATTTTAAGAATAACACTTCAGCTGCAAACAAAGCAACCTCAAATCAAATTCAAATATAATCTTATTTTGGGAAAAAATACCCATAATGAGTTGAGGCAGGCCAACTTTTCCACTTTGTACAAAAATAATAAGTGGAGAGAAAGGATTTCTCCTCAGGCATTCCTTGACACCACTAAGTATGATGCAGAAACAGCAGGTGCACATGGTTTGAACTCCAGATTTTTTCTGTATCAACTGTAAAATCAGACTACTGACAGTTTTAGAACATCCACATGGACATTTTTCCTTTGGCTACCCAACAATGAAATCTCGTCCTGTTTTGAGGAAAACGTTACGATGTTAAGGACTGCATCCAAGACGACTTCCTGCAGTGTGACCTAGGCTGTTCTCTCTTCCCTGATCTGTTTTTGTTCCTGCCCCTTTTCCAAACCTCGGGCTTCAGCCTTAGAGCAGGTTCTACCCAACGTTCTCCCAGTAAATTCTCATTGTGCTTGTGTTAACCTGAATCAGTTTCTGCTGTCTTCAAACTAAGAATCCTAATTGGTACATAGCCCGACATCTCAACTGAACAGAAATTCCATATGAAATGCCCTTGACAGCTGATCAGATTGCTCAAGAATGTTTCCAGCCACAGGGAGCACCCCACACCCCAAGGCCAGCTGTTCCTCTGCTGGGTAACTGCAGGTGTTACTAAGTGGTTTCCTTCACTGCGGTGAATGAAATACACCTCCTTGCAACTTTGATCCACTGCTCCTATTTGTGGTTCCTGTGTTTTCATCACACATTCTCCAAAAGTTGATCTTTGGAATAACCCACAGCAAGTCAGACCCTTCTTTGGTGCTATACCTATGAAAGTAATATGAATAAATAACTATAGTTATCCTGACTATAGTTTTGACTATCTTATCAAAATTTTTGGCTAAACTAAAAAAAATATATGAGGTATAGCACTGGTGGTTAAACATTAAATCATACAATGAGAACTTTTTATTACTCCTTTAAATTTTCTAATTCAGAAGATGTTTCAAGAAAAAGTTTTCTTAAAACTTAAGTCAGAAAAAATTTTAAATTTGGAGCTTCTATCTCATTAATACCTTTTTAGTATTTGATAACATCACTACAATTATTTAATGACTTTCTTTTCATTATATTTACTTTTATGGCAAGCAATACCAGTTTTCTACTTATAGAAATGATATAACTTTTGTCTCTAAAATTTTAAGTAGAAAAGTAAATTTAAAGAAAAACAAAGTAAATGATAATAAATGTGGTGCATTGGAATGTAAAAATCATGTGGGTCGATGCCATTGCTTAACACTTGAAAATTTTGCTTTAGAAATAGCTGGTTCACAGCAGAATAAAAAGAGATTACTCCTGTGATCTGGACATTATACTTCATCATTGACGCCCTTATTGTTCTATGTTTTGTTTTTTTAGTAGTTATTCATTACCATTGGTTCTTATCAGGAATGACACTACTTATTTTCAGTACTTCACCCTAAAAAATTTGTTTTTCTTTGAGGATGGCAGACTGTGCCTAAAGCACCTATTCTTGGTTCCTGTGTTTTCATCACACATTCTCCAAAAGTTTATGAGATCTATTTCCTGACCCCACTGGTTAGTTGGTTTGAAATCCGAAATGAATAACATTTTCATTATCCTTCTCAAGAGACCTTGGCCCAAGACCCCACTGAGCAGGAGATCTGGGAATGTGGACTTACCTGTGGCATGTTCTTGTAGACCTACATCAAAGGCAAGTTTATCTGTCTGGGATCTTGATGTAGTCAAACATGTCAGATACTATGAAAGAAAAACAGATGTGAGTGAAGTCACACTCTTCTGTCAGGTCTCAGCATCTCCCTGCTGCGCGGCTCCCAGTGGTTGATGTCAACATTGAGCTACTGTGAAAAGGGCTCACCTTGTTCGTCGTCATCATGTTTTTGCAATATACTTTAATAACATACTAAAACCTCAACAATGTTCCTACCTGATGACCCAGTGACTTACCTAATGGGGCTCTATGTATATAAATAAGTTTGAAATATTAAATATGCTTTTGTTGAAAGATACTCTGAGAAAATTTTAAATTGGGAATATAAATGGAACACAAATGACCAACACTCATAGAAGGGTCAATAAACATTGGTACTTCATTTTGTGGAATATTATGTTACCATTAACTGTTTTTATCAAGGTCGAATAATAGCATGAAAACAATGCAAAATAGTGTATTTGTATAGTTAGCGCGTATGCAAAATTTAAATGCCTCGCAACCAGGCTAAGAGAAATTCCACCAAACTGATAACCGAAGTAATCTTTGGATGGCGGCAGAGACCATGATGACCCCCCCCCCCCCCACCACTTCTAATTATTTTTTGTTTTTAAAATTTTCTGTGACCTTTAAAACTTCTCAAATAATGTCTATATATTTTTTCCAATTACAAAAATACATGTGCACGTGAAACTTAACAATGATTTTTAGAATCACTTCACAAAGGACAACAAGCCCCGGCCTGTCCCCTGTCTCTGCCACAGACAGGCCCGCGGCTGACCCCAGAATGAGCCGGGAGGCAGGCGTGTACTTGGGACGTGCTTTCTGGGTTATAGTCCTAGTTCCCTGCAGCGGGGAAGTGAAGAATCATTGCAGTGCCCACAGTCACAGCTCACAGGCTTTATTCTCAGAGCTCCTCCTAAAAGGAGCAGTACTGTATAGAGTTTATGTGAATGGTGAGGGGGATTTGGGGGGAAAGCAGTAAGTCTAATGATAATTAATATAAGCCTTCATATCTTTACCATGATGTTAGCCCAAGTTTTCAAGGCCAGAAGAATATACTGTTTGAAGTTTTGTTTATTGTATGTAGGTAGAAAAAGAAAGGCATTAAGGTTTTATTTACCCTTGTGGATAAGCACCAGAGTCTGAAAGATCAGTGATCACCTGTTAGTTCTAGAGATTGTCCTGGTACAATGTTTCCGCACTCTCTAAATGTCTCCATCCCCTGCTCAGGTAACCTTCCATTTGGTCATTTTTGTTCTCTGTCCTTTGCCATGAAGGACTACAGCAGGAGAATGTTAAGGCAGAAAAGGTCAACTTCTTACCAGTGCTCAGGAAAAGAAATGCTGCAATAAATAAATTATTTAAGAGGCAGCTTCTGCTCCTGCTGCCAATTTGATAGTTCAAGCATTGAGATGAACTTTGCAGTATGCTGCAGGTGTAAATGTGTGGAAGTGAAGTCTTGAATGAATGTAATAGTTTTCCATTAGGGCCAGAGAAAGAACACCAATGTCACTTAAACTAATGGGTGAAAACAATATATGTAGGGCTGGGAGTAAATGTATCAGAATTGCACATATTACAGTTGACTGAGATTACAAGGATTCTCCTTAATACTCCCCGCCAAAGATCTGCAGTATATGTATTTTACAAATTCATTTAAAACTTGAAAAAAATTCAAGTTACATAAGTCATCACCATTTGGGTTCATTGTGATTCTAGATCCCTAATTAATTATACCTGGATCAGCTGTCTCATGCCTCTGGACTAACAAATTATGTTCAAGTTCTTCCAGGATTGAAGGTGGTGGATACCAATCCACTTCCTTCAGCTAGCAAAGAGTAGAAATTTCACAAAATCTTACTTGATTGATTTTTCTTCTATGCTAGTTGTCCTTGTGCACTCAGGAAGTCAGTTATCCCATAGTTTGTGTGGTCAATGTGACACATCTTTACTGAGCACTCAGTGTGTCAAGGTACTGTACTCAGTGGGATCACAGTCCTTGTCCTCATGGAGTGGGGAGGTGGGTGGTTGGATATTATGCAAATGCAAATAAGTAGTTACAAATTCAGGTAAGTTGTAAGGAGAAGCCAAGACAATAATGTGCTACAATTATCTACATTCCATATGACTCCTGATGTTAACTTGATCTACACATTTGCTGGTTTCCTGTGCTTTTTTCCCTCCTTTCCCTTTCCCCTCCTCTCTGAATGGTGAAAGTGGACACCCCAAGGTACTTACCATTTCACTAAAGGAGTGTCGCAGGAGAATCGCATGGCCATATAGCAGAGTCCTGTGCCCACCCCCTTGTGCTGCCTGTGGGGGAGGAGGAGAAGGAAAAAGTCAGTGCAAGCCAGGCTGTGGCCTCTCTCAAAGCAAAGCAGCGCAAGAATTCTACAAGACAAACTACAAAGAAAAGACACATTGCAAAGCTCCCAAGGAATTCGTTCTAGAAGAGAGTGGCCAGCCTACGGGCGGGGGAAGACTTGCGACCACAGTCATGCAACATCCTTGGGAGAGGGGGTGTGGGGCCAAACCTCTTCTCCAAAGTGGCCCCTGTCTGGGTTCAGCAGGAACCCAGAGCTGTTCTACAAGAGCAGCATGGAGGCGAGAGAGGTACTGCTTACCTTCCTTTGAAACTTCTCAGAAGCATTCAGAGTGAGAGAGAGAGAAACACATGTGATGTAACTACAGCCCAGCGAGAGAAAGGCAGCTTGGGGGCAGGTGTATGGTCACGTTCTGCGCCTTGTGGTCTTTTCCCCTCAAGGCTCTTGTGCCTTCTACCCACTCACTGAAATGGGACCCGTTCACCCAAATCTCACTGAGAGATACTGTGGCTGTTCACTCCGGGGCAGCCCAACGGAAGCAGAGGGAGGCATGGGAGAAGAGGCAGCTCACCATAAAGCCACTGGAGCCTGCTTCCTACTTTTTCCCTTAGTCTGATTTACATTCAACTATCCCAACTAAATATGATATGAGATAAAACTACTATTAATCCAGCTATAGATGAGTAGGTAATATGGAAGACTGAATCTACAGAAAATTCTAGAATATTTTGGCATCAATATTTTCAACCTTTTACCTAAATCTCTCCCTGTCATGTTAACTAGCCCTCAGAGACAAATTAGTTTGATCACACACCCCTTTTAGGAAAATATATTTGCACATAGGCCCTCATCCCTAAATACACTCAAAAAGAGAATTCAAAGCCTGTGATTAAAATTAATCATAAAGAGAAATTATAGCATTTTTCTTTTTCCTTCTATACACCAAGGGAATGCCTTATGTAGCGCACTGTACTTAGAGCTACAGACCCAGAGCCCAAGGGGCTGGTCTGAGGTTCTGCCCCTCTCCTGCATTCGCCCTCCACTGGAGCCTTGGGCAACAGAGGGAAAGCCAGTGGTGTGGGGAGAAGGCAGAGGTTTGGATAATGAAGTCTGGAGTAATTTTATTTCAACTTCATTTGGATTAACAGAATCACTCTGTCAAAGAGATGACTTTTAATGTCATACAACGGACCTAAGAAAAAGGATAAATGTGGTATCAGGTTTTTAAAAAGCTGATAACTATATATAACTCTCTGTGTGTGTCTAACTATATATAACTGGCTATGGAGATATTTAAATGCTCTGCAGATTTTAGTATTATGGAGGAATTAAATGTTCTTCACAATATTTCCAAATTGCTTGCAATAATTTGATCTAACTTTAGTTCCTGTGTTTACAATATAAATGTGTTAACAACTTACATTAAAATTAGTCATACTAAATAATTTTCACAACTTGTCAGTCCAGCTGATATTTTCACTGTACATTTTTGTATTATTCAAATTGACGACTCATGATGGCTTATGTTGTGGGTGTATGCTCCCAAAACCAGCCCCATGTCTCAACGGAGCTACAGACTGAATGATTGTTTCCTAGTGTTGACTATGGGTCACAACGTTCTCCAGTTCATCTTCATTTCTATCAACTTGGTAAGTAATCATAAGTAAAGAGTCAAGAGTCGCTGACCCCAAAAGGCGGCTCCGCAGAGTTTGCGCTCCTCCCCTTCTCTGGTTCTGCTGGAAACATCTGGTACCCGAGTCCTTTCCTGTGGTGACAACTGGGATTGAATGGGACATCACGGCCCTGGAGGTTTCCTCACCTCCTGACTCCCCTTCCGTTAAGGCAGTGTTTCTTAGAAGCTGGTGTGTGTCTGCTGTTATAACACAGATGGCCAACCCCATTCCACAGCATCTGTCTCACCAGGCTTGGGGTGGAGCCTGAGAACTTGCATTTCTAACAAGGTCCTGGGGACCCGACCCTGATGATGCTGCTGGCCCAGTGGCCACAGTTTGAGAACCACTGCTGTAAGGAGTGATCAGACTTCATTGCTGGAAGGGGGATCAGTGTAGAGGATTCTTCTCTACTGAAGTTTTGATCATCGCCGTCCTCGTGACAGCTACTGCTGGGCACGCACTGTGCGTCAGGTGCTTTATGTGCCATCACAGCTTATTCTCATAGCCCTTCAGTGAGAGACGTTGTCTGCATTTCAAAAGTGAGGAATCGGAAGCTCTCAGAGGGTGTCTTGCCGTATGTCACACAGCTGGATATGGTGCTGGAAGAACTGAAGTCAGAGTTGACTCTAGAATGTGAGCTCATTTTGCTCCACTTTTCATAATATATTCATTCCCCTACTGTGTGCAATACCATGCACAAAGCACCAGGAAACTAGGATACAAAGATATATCCTCAGCTCCTCAGTGATGGTGAATTCATATAGCTGGAATTACATGAGCTCTAATTATACAGCAGGCATGGAATTACACTAAGTGTTGTATATGAATCAACTCATTTTATCTTCTTAATTAGTGCTGGGAAGTAACTATGGTAATTATCTCCATTTAACAGCAACACAAACTGAGGCTTAAAGACATGAAGTAATTTACTTAAAGTTGTACAGGTTCCAAGTACAGGGTTGGGATTTAACAAAGATGAGCTACTTAACTTTACGTTACATTGTGTCCTGTATAGTCTGGTCAGGGAGATAAGACTTGTGTATTAAAAAATCATAGAAATAGAAACAACATGTCTGGTAAAAGAGTTGAAAAGACACAGAGCATTGGGGTACAGCGAGAGGGTAAAGAGGGTGTTAAGGAAGAGCTTTATTGAAAAGGTAGACCATAACATTCATTCTGCTGGGACCGCTGACATGTAACGAGAGTGAGAAAGAGGGACTCATGTGGGCGAAGGCCTCGAGGTGGAAGAGAATGAAGTGTCCATGGGGACTAGCAGACATGTATTTCACTGATCAGTGTTGGGGTCAATAAAACAAAAACAGTTGGAAACAAGTCAGGACACAGATGCTGGGAGGTCACATTATGGAGTGCTCTGACACACTGTTCTATTGCTAAGGGGACACTGGTGTAGGTTTTTGAAAGGAGAGTGTCACAATCAAAACTGTACATTCGGGAGATAACCCTGACTACAGAGTGGTTGGTAGACTGGAGGTGTTAAACCCTAGGTGCAGAGAAGATCATTCTCTCACTCAATTTCCACCACAACGTAAGGAGAGTGTGGACATCAAAAATCTTGGCGTCATCCTTTACTCCTTTCTCCCTCTCATCACACTCCACAGTCAATCCAAAGCCCCTTTGGTGCCACCTTCAAAATGTGTGCTGTGTCTAGCTACTCGGCACCCCACTGCTACCAGTCTAGTCCAACCTACCGCCCTGTCTCACCTGGACTCTAATCACAGCTCCAACTCTGCTTCTGGCTGCGCCCTCCCTGTTTTATATTCTGAGTTAATATGGCAGCCAGAGCATCCTTTTAAGACCACTGATCACATCACATTATTTTCTTGCTCAACCCCCCAACCTCCCATGGTTTCCTTCACATTTGGAAGTACAACATCCTCACCATGGCCTCCAAGGCCCTGCATTAGGAATTGGCAAATTTTCTCTGTCAAAGACCAGACAGTATCAGGTCTTACATTTAGGTCTATAATTCATTTTGAGTTAATTTTTGCACATGGGAACAAACAGTAGTCTAGTTTCATTCTTTTGCATGTATTATTTAATTATGCCACACCATTTATTGAAAAGTTTTTCTTTTCTCCACTATGTTTTTGGCTCCCAAGAAGATATAGAAATGGCCAACAGAAATATGAAAAGAATCTCAACCCCATGAGCTATTAGGGAAATGCAAATCAAAACTACAATGAGATACCACCTCACATTTGTTAGAGTGGATTTCACCAAGACAAGTAACAACAAGAGTTGGAGAGGTTGTGGAGAAAAAGGCACCGTCATTCACTGCCGGTGGGGATACAAGCTGATACAGTCACCATGGAAACAGTATGGAGGCTCCTCAAAAAATGAAGAATAGAGTTACCCTATGACCCAGCAACCTGTATTCTGGGTATCTGCCCAAAGGATTTGAAAACATTTATTTGCAAAGATATATGCACCCCTATGTTCATTGCAGCATTATTCCTGGTGGGCAAGACATGCAAACCACCAGTGTCCTTCGACAGCTGATTGCTTAATGAAGATGTGGTGCAGATATACAACGGAACACTACTCAGCCATAGGAAAGGATGAAGTACTGCCATTGGTGACCACATGGGTGGACCTTGAGAACATCATGCTAAGCCAGACAGAAGAAGTCAAGAACCATATGAATTCACCCATATGTGGGATATAAAACTGAAAGCAGCAAATTGACAAGTAAGAAAAGCAAACTCACAGACACAGACAACAGCATGGTGGTCTGCGGGGGGAGGGAAGGTGGGTAAAGGTAGTAAGGGTAAAGAGGCCACATATATCCTAGCAGAAGATGATTTAACTTTGGGTGGTGAGCACACAATGCAATATACAGACCATGTATCATAAATCGTACACTTGAAACCTATATAATCTTATTAACCAATGTCACCCCAATAAACCTAATTAAAAATAAAATGGGAAAGATGAACATAAAAAAGTTAAGTACAAGGACCAGATTGTAAATATTTTAGGTTTGACAGGATGCGTATGGTCTTTCTTACAGTCTGCTTTTTTATTTTAAACAAGTTTTTCTAAATATAAAAGCCATTTTTACCTAGAGATTCTATACATAAACAGGCCATAGGCTGGATCTGGCTCCCTGGTTGTCCTTGCAGCCCCACTTGATCTGGTTCTCTCCACCTCTGTGACTTCACCACCTACCAGGTGCATTCCCCGTCAGTCCTCTGCTCCTGCCTCATGGGCCTTCCTCTGTCCGTCACACATGCACGCTCTACTGCAGGGCCTTTGCACACGTTTCCCTCGGCCTGGAATGCTCTTCCTCCA